TGTGTGTGTGTGTGTGTGTGTCTGTGTGTGTGTGTGATTGTGTGTGCGTGTAAGAATTGATATTAAAAGTAAAGACACACTCTCTGCAGTGTAGAACATTAAAAAAGAGCACAGCTTAATATTAAACTAATACCGAAACTTGCTTTTCTGCTCTATCTTTGATTTCAATTCGTAGTTTACACAACTCTGACGATAGTTTTAAAGTATGTTAGTTCTCTTTCAAGACAAAGTTATAACAGCCAATCCTATCTTCTCCTCAGCTCCACAAGGACAGCGAATTGTGTTTGTCAGTAACCCTGTCGCCTCCATCGCTGACACAACGGTGTTCAACCTTCCCGCCGTCTGCCCAGATGGTTCCGTCGTTTAAGAAGGAATTGTTGAGAGCATCACTTTAAATGATGATTCAGAATGCTAATTCCTGTCTTTCTTCAATGTTAATAAACTATTTGAATGCACTTTCCAAACAAACAAAAGCGTTTGTTTCTATTTTTAAATCAACTACTGCAAATTGGTCCAGGAACCATAACGATGTCTGACAAGTATTCCTTAATATTTTAAAACTATTTATGCCATGGCATTGCGGAATCAAGCGTTCGTCAATTTTAAGACGAATGAAATTATTGGTATCATCTTAAAGTTTCTTCTATTCTCTTGATCTACCTAAAAATGTACCCACCTATTTTTGATAGAAATAGTGTTAAAGAATGTGGGTTCGCCTGGTTTCAGAAGTAAATTTGCGAGAAAATGGCTGTCAAAGTTTGGTAACTTCCGTAGGTTGAGAGTCCTTGGAGGTCAGAGTTGTCTGATTTCAGAGGTAAAAGAAGCGAGAAAATGGTAGCCAAAGTTTGATAACTTCCATACCCCGAGAATCCTTGAAAACTGAAAATTTGCATTGTTTGGGTGCTGTATTATCAATTGTTTTCAGTAAAATCCTCTCAAAAATGTGCTTTTAAAAGGGCAAAAAAGTGTTGAGTCGAAAAAAAAAATGCTCATCGAGCAACTGAAACAACTAGCGGCTAGAGCTTACAACACCGGAGAATTCGGCTTTATATCAAGAGAAAGACCAAGAAATACCTGATTGGATGGGGTTAAACAGGTCTTGGAACAACATAACAACATTAGTATCTATCACCGACGCTACACACCTAGCACAGGACCGAAACTTGCACCTCCCCTCGACATCCTAAGGATACCAGGGGAAGGAAAAAGTAAAAGTAAAGTAAGTATGTATTAGCTGTTTGAGAGAAATGTATAAGCTATTTGAGAGAAATGTGTGTTGACTGATAAATTTTATTCAGTCAAAGTACATATGTGAGGCAGCGTGGTGGAATCGGGCTCTCATCAAATTTTGGGCATGTAGAGTTATTGGTATCATCTTAAGGCTTGTTTACTTGTCTTTATTTGGATGAAAAAAGTATCCATTTGTCTTGAATACCTTCCACTTGAACAGAATAAACCCGGAACTTCCTCCAATGTGTCCCTTGTGTGACTATGCATATAAGACTGTGGAGCATCACCTGTTCCACTGCACAGCCCTAAATGACATCAGAGCTACCCTGCTCCCTCCGAGACCTAACATAGACAACATACTCTATGGAACATTACAGCAACTGCAGCAGACCTGCACTTATCACTACATGGCATTGGACAGAAGGGCGAGAGCCCAGCTGTTGCTGGATCGATAACAACAACAACAACAATCTTGAATACAAGTCGAGATATTTACGAAAGAAGGAGGTGGGGGTCACCTGTTTTTCAGAGGTAAAATTAGTCAGAAAATGGCCCTTAAAGGTTGGTTATTTCCTTTTAGCTTAAGGGACCGGGGTAACTGAAAATCTACATTTTCTGTGTCTTTAGTCAACGTTTTTCAGAAAAATCGACACAGAAATGAGTTCTCTAATGGGCATGAAAGGTGTTGAGTCAATAAACAAAAATTTAATAAAAATTCACAAACATGCGGAAAAATGCAAGTTTTTACATTTTGATTATTTTGACGAGAGCCTGATTCCACTACACTGCCTCACATATATTTGAAAACATTCAGCCGGACCTCCAGCTAGGAGATCAAAAACCATTTATTTGTTTTGATTACGAGGCTGAACTTACGCATTAAAACGCTTACTAAACTGAAGAAACTATGGATAAGGAAAAGGATTTCAGTGAAAAAGTTTAAACGGACGACCATTAATGTTCAACTTTCTGTGTATTACAAAACCAAAAAAAATCAGGAAAACTCGAGTTTTGCTTTATTCTTGTCAGACAACTTTAAGGAGTGGGGATGCTTTGGTGTCATAATTTTTTGGTTCAAAAATTTTGGTCCTATATGTTTTACGATTTCCATAATAAAGAATCTTATTATAATGGAGCTAAACCTGTTTGTGAGGTCAATATATATTTTTTTACACAAGTGCCCATAAAATCCCCCCCACCCAAAATAAAATAAAATATGATTCCGTTCAGACTTTGTTACAAAGGGTTACGTGGGTATATTTTCAAAGTTCGGAAACTACCTTTTGATTTTTCAGATTTGAAGATTTTTCCTGTAAATCGAAGCTCTCAGATGTTTTCACTCCGCCATCAGCCATTTCATATTTTACTGGAGACTATTTCCGTTTCGGTTTGTGCTTCGTCGTGTGTGTGTGAAGCTGCTTCTACTATTTCCAGATCTAGAATCTCAATGTCCAACTCTGCTTGGATGTGTGCCTTGCAGTGTCGATGGATACTTTAGGCCAAACTTCATTGTACTGACTTTTTCAAGAAACATTTGGCGCAATCATTTCCCCACCACGTTGAGTCCGTTTAAACCCACAAAAAAGTTCACTTCGTAGTTCTGACGTCTTCAGAATTTGGTGCGCATTTGATAGGTAGCTTTTTATGGAGCAAGACTCTAGATCTAGACCTCTCTATATATCCGAGGTAGATGTAGGCTATTTGGAGCACAGAATTCAAGTTTAATTTTGAGCAGTTAGCAAGAACAGAAATGAGGTTTCTGCTTTGTCGTGTGTCTGTCATAGAGTTCTACTTCGTGTTTACAAAGCTGCTTCTACTGTTTCCAGATCTAGAATCTCGATGTCTAACTCTGTTTGGGTGTGTACATCGCAGTGTCGATGGGTACTTCAAGTCAAACTTTATATCTTGTGATTTTGTATCACTAGATCTATATGAGTGTTCGTAGAACGGGTCTGTATCTTGTAATATAAAAAAATA